CGCAAACCACGAACGAACCCACAAACCACAAACGAACCTAGCACCACCAACTTACCAATCAAACCACGAACGAACCCACAAACCCATCACCACCAACTCACCAATCAAACCACGAACCATAAACCCTTCTCTATCACCAATTAAAGCTTTAATCGGTCAAATTTAACCATCAAAACTCTAGATCTAGAGGTTTAATGGTTAAATTTGTCCATAAAAGCGACAATGACGAAACAACAATAAAAGAAAGAAGTTAAGAGACAATGGAAAGAAGTTAAGAGACAATGCAGGCAGCGATAAGCGTGGGGACAGGGGCATGACTTTCGGCCAGGTGTTGCAGTTGAATTGAGGGGAGATCGGTGAAGAAAGAGAGAGAAATTCTGGGTACATGAAGAATTCGGCGGTGGTGGTAGTAGTGGTGATGGTAGTGGTGGTGGTTGGCAATTGAAGGTGATGATGAATTTAATTCGGAGAGGAATGATTTTCGTGAAAATGGTTAAGTTAATTAATGTAGGGTTAAGTTTATAAGATAAAATCAGTAGTTTAATAAGGGTGGTTTTTTTTAAAAAATAAAAAAAAAGAAGTAAAGGTAATATTGTAAAATCACACAAATAATCTTACTAAAACAGGAAATAAAAAGTTTATTGCAAGTAATATGTACCGACCATTTTAGTAATTGTTGCGAGTGATCGTAACGGAGGGAGTATAACACATATAGCTACGCACACCTTGGGCGCGTAGAAGTCCCAATACAACGCTAACTTCCAACACTTGTCTCTCTAACTTTTATTGTTACACATTGTACTTTGGTATAATCTTGTGTTCGATTTTCTATATTATTTCTCTCTCTAACTACTGGTATATTATTAGTTTATTACATTGTTTTCATCTCATGTTTGTATTATATTACGTACATTGTTTTCATCTCATGTTTGTATTATCTTTATTTCTTTTCCCTTATTACCCTTGAACTCCCGACAATTAAAATCCTTTTTCCTTTTATTACCTTGACTTTCATCTTGAGATGATGAGGACGTGGGGTTGCACAAAACCTTTTTTGACTCGATCTATTTTACGTATCTTTCCATCCTCAATCTTCCAATGAAATTTTATCTTTATTTAGATCATCAAATTATTTCAAGTTTGTTTCTATCAAATGATTCTAACATCATTTTCAAGTGTAGCACTTAAATGTCGAGGTCGCCACGTCACCATAATGGTCTGGCGACAACGATCGTCAATGTGGTGACTTATAACTTGTTTGTTTTTTAAACTTGTAATGTTGTGGTTCCTTCCTTGCATATAATATTATAATTATTATTCTATTACTTTTGTAAGGTTTGAAGAACAAAGTTTTAATTTTGAAAAAAAAAAAGTTAGAAAATTGAATAGCTTAATGATTTGGCACAAATTTTGCATTAGTGGGAATCCCAATCACCTCTAAATATCAATTATTATCGTCTCTTTGGTCTCTTCTAAGACCACCTACATACCTTCACTCATCCTTCTAACAAACAATTCTTAAAATCCGACGTGTTGACAACACCGTGTAGTCTAAACGTTAGTCCTTGTGGAAGAATAATGACCCTACTTACTCTAACAAATTACTTTTTAAATTACTAGGGCGGCTAACACGCGTGATGCACATGCACACCATAGCTAAGCTAGCCGTGTCCAATGAGCTATTTCGGTTTGATCTTATATCACAAACTTAGGGTTCATTTGGCATCGTTGTGGTATTTTGTTTTTTGATTTTTTGGTTTTCAAACTCATATAATCATATAATAAAACAAAAATTAGGCAAACCCATTAAAATCATGATAATATTGAAAACTGACAACAGAAAAGTGGAAACACCTTTTTCTTATTTCCTGTTTTTGGTTTTTTGTTTTCAAAAAAAAGAAAACTGAAAACAAAAAACAATGCCAAACAAACCCTTAATTGTTGGCAACATTAATGGAAAAAAAAATATATGAATAAATATTTTTCAACTACAGGAGAAAGATATAAAAAAAAACTCCATGAAGGTGTCTTGATATAATAACTAATCATTATAGGGATAACATGTTCAGTGTTGTTGATTTTATCGTATTAAAACAATATTTAAAAATGATGAATCTATTATTAAATAAATTCAAGGTAACTATGATGTATTTTTTAACAATAAAAGATGACGTACGGAGTAATACTTATATTATACGAAATAATAGATACGAAAAATATTTATTTGAAATATGTGAATAAAAATAATCATAAGTGTAAGATTTGATGAATATTTTGGGTCCATTTAACAATAAGTAATTGATGACATAAAAAGAAAGAAAGAAAGAAAAAAAAAAAAAAAAAAACCCACGACTACCAATTCCAGCCCTTACCCATCCAACGTTCCAACCCACCTCGATTCCACATTTGCATCCCAAAAACAGCCCACTTACACCGATTTTTCTAGCCCAAATACACCATTAGACCGCTCACAGTAGTTCTGCCTATAGAAAAGTACCCCACTGGCCCACTAACCTTGAAACAACCTCTACCCCTGAAAAGTGAAAACAGCCCTCTCACCCCTCAAAAAACACTCAGAATCCCCCAAAAACATACCACCCAGTCACCCACCCAAGTTCCAGCGCCCCCCACCCCAAAACCAGCCGCACACACCCCGTATTCATAAAAATTGGAAAGATGATTTTGATTCATATTCCCCCCGTATATTAATACCTACTTCATTTCTCCAAATACAGAATTTTAAGAGGAATAGTAAAAAGTATTGTCATGGATAGGGCTGGCAAAAGCTAACACGACTCGAAAACTCGATCTGAAAATAGCGAGTTTGAGTTGAGATTCTTGACATGAAAACTTAAATGGATCGACACGAAAACGACCTAAAAATTAAATGGATTTTGTTATTTCAACCCAAAATAACCTGACTGACCTGAAAAAAAGAAAGTGTATGTTTCCTTTTTGGGCCAAGCCCACATTGTATGATATATCACTAATCACATATATGTCCGGGGGACACAAAAGCAATACCAATGATATATACATACAACCTAAAGATTAAAACCCTAATATTCATTTCCTTACCCACTGTCACAAGCTTTCAGACTTCTTCACACTAATTTTCTCTCATCATTTCTCACTCAGATTTTTATCAATTAAGAATATCACTTTCATTTTTCTACTCACATTCTTCGTTTTTCTAGAGTAATTAATTAGGTTTTTTTTAGTTGTTCTTTAGATGAAAAGAAAACTCTGTTGTTTTAAAATAAGAGTTAAGTTTAATACTCATCTAAAGTTGTTATTTATGAATTCTGTTTAATACTAAGTATTAAATTATAAAATTTAATTTAAGGATGAATGTAAATATGTATTGGGTAGACAGATCTGAATAAAAAACTAAATTATAGCCTTAATAATTTTTTCATTAATATAATCAGGTTAAAACAGGTTTTTTCGGGTTGATCCGAACCCGAACAGATTAGGTCAGGGTTAGAATTTTTGACCCGAAAAGTTAAATGGGTCAGGGTCAGGTTAAGGGATTTTAACCCGAACTTAAAAGTGACCCGACCCGACCCAATTGCCACCCCTAGTCATGGAGCTAAGGTTGGTTGAAAGATTAAAAAAACAAAAAAAATCTAAAAAAGCAAAAGTGAGTATAACTGTATAAGTGATGGGGATGAAAGTGAATATCCCTATGGACCCTACCTTATAAAAAGTACAAGATTACTCTTATGATTTATGAACAATGTGATGCCTGTTATACCCTTTAAAAATGTACCCTCATTAATATGTTTAACTTTTATGAATAGTGTTTTAACAATTATACTACTTAAAATGTTTATTTATTTGTTCATTAATGATAATTACCTCTTATTTTTTTAACTCTTAAGAATAGTATGTGGACATTCATACTCCTAATTAAATGCTTCCTCCGTTCTTTTATTAATGCACCACTTGTTTTTTTAGGAAGTTTCATAAATATTGCACCATTTCTTCATAAGGGTAAAAATTATTTGTGTTCACACTACAAATACCCAACATACCCTTGCTTTTTCACACCAATTACAAAATTTGTGATGTAAGGCCAAACCAAAAGAAATTCTGAATATGGCTAACCGCGCGCACAATAAATTATGGAGGAAGTATGAATTTAGGATTTGTAATCAATTCTAGTTAAGATTAGAACATCTACACTTCTCTATTTGAAAAGATGCAAAATAAAGCTAAGTATCGAGAATCAGCGTTCGTGTCAAGTTTGAAGCAGTAAAGTGTGAGTTAAATGACTTATACCAAATATGCAAAATAGTTATTTTTTTATTATTAAAGTTATGTTATTTTATGTAAATTTGTGATTTACAGATCTCTATTATTATTTTGGATGTCACATGCATGTCTATTCATTATCAATTATATTATTTGTTTTCCCGTTAAAAAAAAAATGATTCGTTCTGATTCAAGAAAATTACTATGGCCAAAATTAAAGTTTTGAATAGGCAATGAAAATTTTCCTTAATATTACACCACCTAATGAGGTTGAGGACTTGAGGTTATGGAGTAGTGACATCGCTATCTACTCGTGTCCCTGAGGTCTAGGGATCAAGCCTCATGAGACTCCCTCAAATGAGCCCCCTTCTTCTTACCAAAAAAAAAAAAAAAAAAATTACACCACCTACTCACTTAGTAAACACTTTTGTCTTTGGACCAAAAATTACAAGCCCGTAGCATCAACCTAAACACAACATTGAAAATGCAACGTGCAAACTTACTCTTGAGTGAAAAAGCAGGGGGGCAGAGAGGAATGAAGTCGGCCAAAACAGCACCCAAGGAAGTACAGCCGATGACCAAAACAACAATGGCCAACCAATTACACACATGGTGCAACCCAACAAACAAGCCTGCCATGAAGGCGACTAACATCATAGTGAGGGCTAGGCCTAAAGAGGGCAGCGCAAAATTGAGGGACATCAAACTAAGTGTGAGGTCATCGAGGTTAGCCCAAATAAGTGTCACAACAGCGAAGATTGAACTGTACAAGGCACAATGGTGTTGCTAATGATATATATCTGAAAGGCATGTCTATGCGCCTTGCTGACCATTTGCGCGGTTGAATCATATCCACCAGGAGGGGTGAATCCTGCTGCAAAAGTCACGGTTGCAACAAGGGTAGATACTAATAGGAGAATGTTAAATCTATCACGGTAATCGCTATTGCTGTTGATTATATTCTCCCTTGCCAAAGTTGGATTTGGATATATGACATTATTTTGTGAGTCTTGTGACCCACTACTATTGAGGTTGTAGGGGGTTGTCAAGTCTTGATCCATGCTTACTGGAGATCGGGGCACATTTGTAACGACCAAAATTATCCAAGTCATGCGCTGCAATAACAATAAGATTGCATTAACATTATAGCATCAGGCCATCAGCAATGTAATCTTAACATGATAATTAATTCTTAAGTACGGTTATTAGGTGTGCTCTCTTCACCTTATTATTCGTAAACTTATTTGAACTTATTAGACTTTAATAAAAATTATTTTAGTTGTAATTTGTATATGAATTATCCTTATTAGAACTTATTTTTCCTGAATTGAACTTATCTGAAATTATTATACCTGAAATAGGTGAAAAAAAGGTGAACAAAATAAACCTTAGAATGAACTTATCTCAACTTATATATAGTATTTAACTTATTAGACTTGATCAAACTTAGGAGCATGTGTTCTATTTATTTGATTTTCACTTATATGAAATTATCAAAACTTAACTAAACTTATCTGAGTTTATGTATCAGAATTTATATATTAGACCTGAAATAAGTAAAAATAAGATTAACAGAACATACCGTTATCAGAACTTAATTAAACTTGTTGAACCTTATTTAACCTTATTATTAGAATTGATTAGAACTTATAAAATCTTATTTATTAGACCATATTTAACTTATTGGAATTTATTAGAACTTATTTAGCTTATTGGAACTTACATATTAGAATTTATTAAATTTATTGGACCTTAATGTAATTTATTTGACGAACTTATTAAACCTGAAATTTATTTTTAATTATACGGTGAAGAGAACAAGCCTTTACTTGGTTATTATTAAGCTACATGGTTACCAAGACTTTCTAGTTAGTGTTTATTTGAAATTTTATCCTTTTTTTTTCCATAATGTAATAAAAATTTAATTGGTGGTTGGTGCAGGCGGATGCACGATCCGTATTGTGCATCCGCCGCAAAACGACATTGCTTTGTTAACAAAACGCAGGCCTTCAATTTCTAAAAAACGCGGAATGTACATTACGTTGTGTAATAAGATACATGGTAGTAGAAAAGAACATTTTGTTCAATTTTAATGAGCATAAGTTGTTTTAACCTTAAGTTTTGTAAAAAAGGAAAAAGATAAAAAAAGATAAACATAGTAATTTTTTTTTACCATTTCATACTATACTCTCTCTCTCTAAAATTTTATTTCTCTAGAATATTTCTCTCTCTATAAGTTTTCTCTACCAAACCGATTCAAATTCTTGAAACCCTAAGATTAATTTGGTGAATTTCGAACTTGTTGGTGCGAAATTGTTCAAGTATGGTTGACGAAATTGTTCGACTGTAAGTAGTTTTTGCAACTTTGTGTTTTTTTTTTCTTTTTGTGCTTGGTTTGATTTTTGAGTTCAAATCGATTTTTTGTTTTATTTTTTTGATTTGTTTTTTTTTATTCCATTTTTGAAGAAGATCGTCCGATTATTCCATTTTTGAAGAAGAAAGCAAGCAAATAGACAATTTTAGAAAAAGTTGTAGATTCAAATAATACAATGTACATTAAAATACAGTAAAATGTTCTTTTTTCATATACTTACATGATGCAAATAATACAATGTACATTAAACATGTAACCAACATTATAACATATATGTTCATTAGAATATATTACAATGTACATTATAATACAATAAAATGTACTTTTTTATATGCATACATGGTCATTTATACCAAATGTACATTTACTATTTGAATAATGTTCTTTAATATTATCATGTTCTTTACTAATATTACAAATGTTCTTTAGATTTACAAAAAAAAACATGTAAAACTAGATGTTTTTTATAAAATAGCTATATGTTCTTTATAAAATAAGTATATGTTCTTTACTGAACAACTACATGTTCATTCCGCCTTTTTTTAAAGAAAACCGGATGCACCTTGGTGCATCCGCCTCCACAGAAAAAATTTCAATAAAAATTACTGTAGAAAACATTTGAAAGCAATCCAAACTGATCAAGTACGGCTTTAAAACCAGTTTTATCAATCCAGTCCAAGTCCGGTTTAAGCAAATAAACCAGTTCGAGTCTTGAATATTTAATTTCTAGTCTTGGATGGGTGACAAAACCCTACCTAAATTATACATGTATTACTGCCAGTTGTGTATAAATAACAACAAATAACTAATTTATATAATTAATTATATAACATCAAGAATACTATAACTTGATACTTGATTGACTTTTATGCTTTCCCAGGTCCCACTAACAGTTTTGACAATTAATATCTTAAATTTTATATAGTATTATATAATACTAAAATGATGAGACAAATGTAACTAAAATGATGAGACAAATGTAACAAAATTTCTCATGAATATAGTTTGGGATGGAAGAACAGGGGAAATAAGAAGATTTAATTGGGAAAAAAATTGAGAGGAGAGAGAAAACTGAATTGGAGGGAAAGAAAGGGTAAAAAAATTAGAAGGGAGGGAGGTAAAAACCGGCGCACGTGCCTATGTCAACGCTGTAAAACTGAGTTAGCAGGTCGGAAACCACCCTTAGGTGTGATTTTGCAAAAAAAAAAAAAAAAAAAAATAAATAAATAAAACAACGGTATAGGTATAAGGTGTGTTTTAACAAAAAAAAATTTCATAAGGTGTTTTTTCATGACGAATAAGTTTTAAAAGGTGTTATCTGACAAAATTTCCATTATTTAAAAAAAAATTGTGCAAAGCAAGGGGGAAGAAATTATTATCAAGAGGTAGGAAGGGCATACGCTTACCTCTTTGAACGAGGGAACAATGGTACCAAAATATACCTCAGTTAAATCAAGTGCAGTGAAACCTTGCATATTTTGTAGCATTAACATAACCCTTTCATCGCTCGTCAATGTAAAAACTACCTTAAAATGATATCCCATGGTAGCCAAATGCAAAGGTGTGTTACCATCAATGTCTTTCGCATTGATCATTTCTTCAACCTCATTACACGGCCGCCCCAGGAGATATTTAACCACATCATCTTGTCCATCACCGGCGGCAACATGAAGAATGTTTTGATCCTTACTATTGCTCAGATGCTTCATAAAAACAATATTGTTACGCAGCCAAGAGCATGAAAAGAAATGTTTGATCACTTCCATATTGCCTCCTCTGCAGGCCATGTGAATAGGAAAGAAGCCATCATTATCAGGTTTGTAGACGAGTGCTGGGTGTTTCTCCAACAAGAATTTGACACCCTCAAGGAAGCCTATCTCAGCCGCATAATGTAGCATTGTTCTTCCTTTCTCATCAGACGATGAAACAAGACTGTTGCATGTCTCCTCTATACTTGTAAGCTCATCTACGCATTGAAAAGTAAAGTTACATTGTTTTTATGACAGAAATCGAAGAAAAAGGGATTTCATTAATAATAGATAGTCACACGACAATTACAAACAATTTCTAAGAATTCTAAAATTCCAACACAATTACATTGCAGATTCGATCAACGATCGCCCTAATAAAAAAAACTTCATCCGAAGCAATACAATATGTGAGTTAACACTAATTCGGTTTGGAATTCACTGTTACAGCGTTGTTTGAGTGGTAATACTCATACAGTCTTCTAGATTTCGGGGACTATGAAACCCTGTATCTTCAATCCTCATCAAACGAACAAACAAAGAAAATATACGTTATAAGTTAGCCACCATGTTAATAAAGATGCGATGGGGTTAATTTATTGAAAGCAATTAAAAAGGTTTTAGGGCTTACCACCGGTAAAAATACCAGTGGCCGGAAGCCCCTACGAAAATTCACAATTGAGATCAAGAAGAAAAGAGATGAAAGAGAAGGAGAGAAAAGGGAGAAGAGTGAAGAAAAACCTTCAAAAAATTGAAAAAAAAAATCTAGCAATGGAGGCTAGAAAAACCCTCCCAAAGGATCGGAAAAATTCTAGAGGGAACCGAAAAACCCTAATAAGGTTACATTGTTGGTTTAATTTAGTGGTTTATAAGAAAAGTATAACGTATTCTTTTCTTTCCTTTTTTTTCTTTCCAATTTCATATATAAGTTTATTTCTAAAATGATAGTGTGACTTGTCTAATAAGCGAGTTAGATTTGGGTAAATGGGTTAATGATTGTTTTTGTGCTAGGTGGTATAGCCTGATAAAATACAACCTTTTACAAGTTAGAAGTAACCCTAATTCTATACATAAACTGTAACATGGAGTAGTCTTTAGTGCCCCTTTTTTTGAAAGTTACACATTGTAACCTTCATGTATATATAATTGGTAACCATAAAGTGACCTTGTCGTTAGCACGTTGTTAACAAATTCTGTTATGTTGTTTAATCACCGTTAGTGAGGTCCACTCTCCACCTATTAATACTCGTATTTTTATCGATTTGCGTGTTAAAAGATAATTCGTTATAGGTTTGGGGGTCATTCTGGTTCTTATGGGTCCACATTGAGCTCGATTTTTCTAAAATTTAACGTAAATGCCGCCTCGTTTTGCGTATTAAGTGATGTCTCGATTAGTATGTCATTAATTTTTTAGTAGTGAAAATTATTCCGGTAAAGGTATTAGGGTTTAATAGTTCCAAATTAAGTTCGTAATTATCAGCAAAAAAAATAATAAAGTAATGTCTAATGTCGTATTTGACGTGTTAAGAAATAACGCAATTGTCACGTAAAACGAGACAATTACATGATTTATTTTTCCTATTTTGTGCTCAATTTTATATTCCTTAAGAACTAAAATGACCTTAAACCTTACTTGAACAATTTTTGCAGCCAAAAAATAATAACACGCAAATCGAGACATTTGTTAATACGCAAATCGAGGCACTTACAATTTTTTTCAAATCTGAGCTCAATTTTGACCTATTTTGGCCAAAACGCCCTCTAAACCTTTAACCGGAACATGTTTCAACACGTGAATCGATAAAAAATATTATAAATGGAGAATGGGCCCATTTATGGTGATTAAACAACAAAACCAAATTTGTTAGCTACGGGATAACGATGAGGTCACTGTATGATTGCTAATTAAACTTTTGGGTTAGTTATAATGTAGAATTTTCCAAGATTTTTTTGTTAGAAACTACTTTTGTTAGAAACTACCTAAATAGGTAATAAAACAGATATTGTGAGAAAATAACCGATTTAAAAAATGTTGTAAAAAATTACCTAATAAAAGGTAATGCTATAAAATACTAGCTCTGGCCGAATTTTCACCATTGGCCTAACTTTCCGACGTTGGCCCGATCCAAACCCAACCCAACCCAGATACAACAAATTCTAACTCGAAACCCGAAATTGACCCAACCATAACTGAGGTAGGTTAATCTGACTTGAAACCCCAAATTAACCCAACCAAATCTCAGGTAGATTAAAAGAAAAAACTTTGACCAGAACATATCGGACCCTAATGTCTAACGAATTAATGCTTTTTTTTTCTAGAATAAATAATGCTAGGCCTAAAACCGGCCATCAACTAGAGTGAAAGCGTATCTTATGGCACCGTTACCCCTGTTTCAGCAATATGTTGTTGGATCCACTCCATCTTATCTTTATATTAAGATCAAGAAATCTAGCATAATATTAAAATAAGGGTCTGTTCTCATACGTTGAAATTCAGTTCAGTTCAGTTCAGTTCAGTTAAGTTCAGCTCAGTTCAGTTCAATTAAGTTCAGTTCAATTCAGCTCAATTCAGCTCAGCTCAGTTCAGTTCAGTTCAGCTCCTAATTTCCTTCTCTTATAAAATATTCATTTCAGTTCAGCTCAGTTCAGTTCAGTTCAGCTCAATTCAGTTCAGTTCAACTCAGTTCAGCTGAGTTCAGTCAATGAGGACAGACCCTAAGATTTTTGTAAAAATCTTCCATATTTCCTTTATAAATCTTCAACCGTTGATCTATAAAATAGATTGAATTGATTATTCGTTTCCCAAAAAAAAAAAAAAATTCAATTTTAAATTCTTAGCTTATCAGCAAACTATAAAAATAGAGATAGTTATATATATGGCATTGAATTGGCAATATGGCATTGCTGTTGCCAGCTAGGTATATACAGCTAGCTACCTAGCTTGTACGTGTCCATGTCGTAAACAATGCATGTGGAAGCATTGACCTGCATTGCATTACGGAGTTTTAAAAAGGGAAATTGGAAAACTAAAGGAGCACCCAAAAAGGCAAAACGAAATACTTCATAATAGTGTGGTAGTGTGGTACTAGGGTATCCCCTGCGATGTACAATTAGAAATAATTTTTTTAAAGATATTTTGTGAGAAACTATCTTTTAAAGCATTTTTTTTTTGCGAGAAACTACCTTATAAAAAAAATGTTGTAAAAAACTACCTTATAAAAGCTAAATGTTGTAAGATACTACCCTTGGTCGGAAAGTGAGAGTTGACTTAATTTTTCCGGCGTTGACCTAGTCATGTGCCGGTCACGTGACATTTAATTCATCTTTCCCCATTTTTCCCCTAATTTTCCCCGAGTCTATCTATATAATACCCAAGATGAATTAAATGTCATGTGACCGGCACATGACTTGGTCAACGCCGGAAAAATGTAGTCAACTCTCACTTTCCGATCAAGGGTAGCATCTTACAACATTTAGCTTTTATATGGTAGTTTATTACAACATTTTTTTTATGAGGTAGTTTCTCACAAAATAATTGGTTTAAAAGGTAGTTTCTTACAAAATGTCTTTTTTTTTTTTAATTTTTTTTTATGTTAGGTTGTATTACATTGTATAAAAATTAGAATTAGATGTAAAATTAATTTACATTTAAGAATATATATGAACCACATTATTTACAATTAATAATTAAAATAGTCAAAATAAAATTATTTAAGGATGTATATTAATGAAATATGAAGAAAATAATACACAGTATACAATCAGCACAAATGTCATCAAAATTATTATTTTAGCCTCTAACAATTAATCGTTTATTGTTTATATAGTAGTCTATAGAAGCATCTATTTGATTTTTTAGTCAAAACAAATATAACAATTTTCAAAACAATTAAAATAGAGTAGTTAGTTCAGCTTACAAAAAATGATGTCTTTAAAGCATTTAGGCGGGAATATTTTTTATGAGAAAGCGACATTAATAAAATTTTAGAAAAAGATAATGGGTGTGTTCGGCGCTAGCTTTTGAATAGTTTTTAGGTAGCTTTTAGTGGTTTGACCAAGTCAAACCACTACTTAACAAAAAATGTGAGTGTTTGGCAAAGTAGTGGTTAGGATAGCTTTTAGTGGTGAATGTAGCTTTTATGAAAAGTTAGATAAATTAACTTTTGAAATTAGAGGTATCTGTTGAAAATTTAATCTGTGGTTTTAAAAATAAAATATTGATATTTATATGTAATAGCTAGTCAACCGCTACTTTACCGAATACTCATATCTAAATTATTTATCTTCACAACTAACAGCTTGTTGCAGCTAGCAGTTACTTACACAGCTAACAGCTACCTTCACAGCTATATTTTGCCGAACACGTCCAATGTCAGCATGTTTTATTTTAGTATTAGTTAATAGATTATAGTACATCAGAGAAGATGAAGGGAAAAATATCTTTACAACTTATTGTCGTTGTTGTCATGAAGGTGGTCGCGCCACTGGTACCGTAGCCGCCACCATCAAGAGTTTGAGAGAAAGAATGTTGTTGAGCATAGGTGCCAAAACCCGCAACCCAGTACTACAATAATCTTGGGGAGTTTTGTATCATTGCTGGTATATGCCAATGAAATTTGTTTCCGTATATACAATATGAACCTAGGAGGGTCCTTAGTTAAATGGGCTGAAGACTGTTCTCGGTTCAGGGATGATGGGACGAGGGTTTATTCACAACAAAGCACGTCAATTGACCTTGGGGATTGTCTGAGAAATGCCCCTCCGGAGCTTATTGCGAGTCTTCCTTTTAATACAATGACTCTTGGAAAAGGAAAAAAAAGCCCGCAAAAAAAAATTATTAAACGCGACGACAGTAGAGTTCTTGAAAATTACAGTATTAAATTATTACGAACTTTCAGATGCTCCAAATAGAATGGTTGATTACGAACAGGATGAGTAGAGGAAAGTATAGATCAAGGTTCAAAGTAAAGGAAATAAGAGAGTGAAGGATAGCTCAAGTGGTTAGAACTTCCTCTCGTTTCCAAGAGATTTTGGGATTAATAACACCAATTCTCATTTCCGCCCTTGTGGCTCTCTAAATACCAAAAAAATAATAAAAATAATAATAAAAAGGAAAATTTGTGAAGAAGGTTCTTTTAAGCAGACCTTTTTGTGACAAAGGCTCTTTTATAAAAAAGGTGGCACAAAAGGTCCTTATATCATGTTTGGGTTGTGACTTGTGAGGAGGGTCCTTTTACCATTTTTCGGCATTGACTTTTTTATATTCCGGCCAAAAAAAGCCACGTGTAAAGCACGTAACTTATTAAATTTCTTTTTTTCCCTGTTTTCTCTCATTGTGGGGAGGATTAGCCTTGAATTACTTTGAATATCCTTCAATTTTAATTTATATGATTAAAATTGAAGTTTTAGTGTTAATTATTTTCAGAAATTCGGGTTTAATAGAGGGGGAAAACGGAAAACGAGGGAAAAAGAGGAGGGAGAAAAAAAGGGAACTTAAATGTGATTTTTTTTTGCCGGAAAATAAAAAAATCAACGTCAGAAAATGGTCAAAGGACCCTCCTCACAACTCAAACATGATGAAAGGACCTTTTGTGCCACCTTTTTTATAAAAGGGCCTTTGTCATAAAAAGGTCTACTTAAAAAGACCTTCCTCACAAATTTTCCTAATAAAAAATACATAAAGGATATAAAGGGGCCAAAATTTAATTAATATCAAGTTTTAAATCCTGCCACAATGATCTAAAAAATTCTAATAGAGCAAAATATTAGAGACAGAGGGAGTACTCAAACTTCAAAGGTACCTTAGGCCTCTGGCTAGCAGAGCTAGCTGGGACATGGGGGGACGATTGTCCCATTCTCAAAAATAAATAAATTTATAAAAAGAAAAGGAAAAAGAAAGAAAGATCATGGGATAATTGAGCTATATATTGTTATGTTATTTATTTGGAAATTTGTGAAAAAGGTCCATATGTAAACGGTGGCAAAATAGAACCTTGTAATCGATTTGGGGTTGTGAAGTGAAACTTAGTCCTATCTTCAGGGAAGTCAATGTAGAGACTAGCGTTGACCGTCATGTGTTTATCACTTGACTCGTTAAAATACCACTCCTTAATAAATTTGTAAGTTCTTTGTGAGAAATTACTTACTAAAATCCGATTTTTGTAAGAAACGGCCTAATATAAAAAAAAATTACCTATTAACATGCAAAATCAATGATCAATAACTTAATACTAAAATAGACACCAGGAGTGACACGTGTCACAGCCTGGTGCTGTTTTTTCCCTCCAAAACCCCCCTTCCCTTTTTAACCTTTTTTTTTAATATATTTGATTCTATAATAATATCATTCCAAATATTTTATATTATCTTTATGACTAATATATATTCCTTTTTATTTGGTGTTCATAATTATACATTTACCTAAATAATTATTTCAACCTCTTTAAAAAAAAAAAATTATTATCATTATTTCAACTACTTTTTAACTATCTTTGTAAATGGAGTGTCATTAGATTTTGCCAAAAAATTTATAGGCCCTGTTTGGTAATTGGCTTTTTAATGGCTTTTTGGTTAGATTTTGGCTTTTAGCTTTTTTAGGTGGTCAAACAGCCAAAAAATGTGTTTGGTAATTGGCTTTTTAGTCAGCGAAAAAGCTGGCTTTTAAGCCAAAATGAAAAAGCTGCTTTGAGTAGCTTTTTTGTCGGCTTTTGGCTTGTTGGCCCACAAATTATCTAATAAACAGCCAACAACCAACAATTAATTTTCCAAACACTTTTATAAACAGCCAGCTTAAACAGCCAATTTCAAAGCCATTATAAACAGCCAAACATTCCAGCTAGTCAAACAAGCCAAGTGAACCAGCCTACAGCCAACCGCCATTTTCCAAACAAGGCCTAATAAATTTATTTATATAGTAGATGTTAAAGAAATTACTTTAAAACATCACTTAATTTTTTTTTTTCAAATACCTCTAGCTAATATTTTATTTAAATTTCAATCCAATATAACTATATACGGAGTATTCAAGTTAATTACAATTTTGTTAATGAAATTTTACTACTATACGTTAGAGTTGATCACACCGAGCCCGGCCCGAGATTGGGCTGGTTTTGGGTAGAATTTTCCGGCCTGAAATCGGGTCGGGTCCGGCCCTATTTTTTAAAAAGTTTGAACGGGTTTGGGAAATAAATTTTTAGTTTTTTTTTGCCTGACCCGAAATTGGCCCGAGAAGCCCGTATGACCCGACTAGCTTGGGCACACGTTTTCCGGCCTGAGGCTTGACCCGGCCCGACCTGATAAATGGACAAGTTTTTTGACCTCGGCCTGGCCCGACCCGCCCATTGAACACCTCTACTATACGTACATATTATCACAAATTGATTTATAGAGTATATTATAACTATAGAATAAATGTTGTGGTTGACAAATGATTTTTTAGATATAAAGGTGATATATTATTTGTAATTTTGTGTATGTTTGCACTTTTGCTAATAATATTAGTGGAGATTTTTAGTTTGTTGTTTGATGATTTGTGATACCTATTAAAAATGCATTTATAAATTTGTATTCACTAATATGGCCACTAAACCTAATCAAAGTCCTACCTGAAAAATTTCTTGAGTTTGGAAAGACTAAAAAACCCATTTTTTAGATAATTTTTTACTTTGCCTATTAATATAGATTATGACATTATAATTTTAATTTGTGTGTTTCATCAAATTTTATTTGTTGGATATAATTAATTTTCCTAAAATATTAGACTTACCGTGCATGGCACGGACCTTAAGCTAGTATTATAAAAAAGCTATCATAGGTTGGAATTTCACCGTGACTTTTTTTCTCTGGCATTGACTAGACCACGTGTTCCCAACGTTACCTTTATTAACACCATTTTCACCTAATTCCCCCAATTACCCACCCAGTTCTCCAATACACCATATTGTAACCTTAAAATCTCCCATTTCTCTTTCATTTACAAATTCTTTTTATCATTGCTGCGAATTCCAGCCAGTTGCTATGCAATTTTTTTGCCGATCCTGATCAAGAGGTGCTTTTTTTTTTTTTTTAGAGAATCATAAGGGCGGAGGAGAGAATCGATCTCCTAGAATCGGAAAGAAAGCTCTAACCACTTGAGTTGTCCCTTCACTCTCTCAATAGGTGCGTTTGTAGCTCTTAGCTGCGTTAATTTTTGTATGTTATATCGGCACATAAGTTGAAATTCTAAGGTATAGCAGTCTGTACCTTGCTTGGTACAGACAAAAAACACGGAAATATTATGTAGCTGTTTTGTATCGAACATACCGTACGTTGTTTTTTAAAGAACGTATATTAGTTTTGTAAACAACATCCAATTTTATGTTTTTTTGTATATCTAAAGAACATCTGTAATATTAATAAAGAACATGAAGATATTACTTGTCCAAAAAAAAAAAAAAAACAAGAAGATATTATGTAATGAACATTATTTATATATATCTACCATAATTTTAAGACAAAATTAAATGAACAATTCTCAATAAGCAATTAACATTATATCACAAATAAAAGTTCATTACACTAACAATCAAAGAACATGGACATATGTTCTATTCACTCTTTTTAGGTGCATATATGTTCTTTTTTACTTTAGGTATATGTTTTTTACATTATAATAGTATGTTCTTTTCCCTGCAGTTATATGTTCTTTACATTTGTATAATAGGTTCTTTTTGCGAAACGGTGATACGATGCAAGGTACTCACGCCTATGGAAAACCACACACGGCACATAAGTAGCTAACTTCTTTGACAGGTTCATTAGGAAGTTTTAGAATAAAAAAAATTTGTCAAAAAAAAAGAATTACAAAAATAATAAAAAATAATTGGTGTTAGTTATAATAGCTCTTGAAATCAGTACAATTTCGTGGAAATAATGCTTTTAGGGCCCAATATATTTTTTCGCCACGGGCTTCTAAATCTCTGAAACGCCCTTAACATGTTTTACAACTTTACAATGCTCATCTCAAATAAAAGTGTGTCAAATTAATCAAAGGTACGATGTCCCAAAATAACTTCCAAGCATTAACTAAAATTTTAGGCACAATAGTGAGTATATATTAACATTCATAAGTTATTCTCGTGCGATGCAGGGTTAGAATTAATATTTCTCGTAATTATTTTCTATTGTACTACATTGTATATGAAAATTAGAATTAGATATAAGAATAAATTACCTCTAAGGAAATTATAAAAAATAAAACCACGATCATTCATCAAACAAATTATGTATGTAAAACTATAATTTTGGAGAGAAACTTAATAAATTAGATTTTATATAGACACTTATACATTGAAGTCAAAAGTGTAGATTAAAAATAAAAATAACAAAATCATTAATAATTAATGACATCACACATAAAATTGGGGTAATGTGAGAATGACACATTGACAAGGCCGGCTATTGAGTTGTGCAAACAATCCAATAGCACACCAAAACTTGAAATTATAAATGTATAAAATTTATTTGTTGTGCTTTTATCTTTGAAGAACAACTTGGTTGAGATGGTAATACACATAATTGTAATCCTTAGAATAGGTTTTGGATTCAAATCCCTTCTATCCATATTTCATTTATATATATATATTTTTTTCTTTTACACCCTCTCGGCCTTTCCTAAGTTTTCTTCTTTTACACCCTTTGATAAGTTTTTTCTTTTTCACTTTTATTTTGTTTTTATGCAGTATTTTCCTTTGCACCATTTGGTAATTTTCACTTTTTTATTGGATATATAATTTATTGAAATATAAAAAATTAAATATAAATTTTTTAATTATTTTTATTTATATGACTAAAAAATACATAGTATTTTGGATTATGGAGGCACGACTTCATATATTTGGCACACGATCCCCTAAAAGTTTAAATGGGCCTTACATATAGGATAGTTTGAGGATTAATATAATGTCAGTAATATTTTGTTTTAATAATACAGTAATAATTAATAGATTAGTTTTTTGTGTTTAGAGAACCATAAGGGCGGAGGTGAGAATAGATTCCAATGTCTCTTAAAATCGGGAGGAAAGCTCTAACCACTTGAGCTATTCCTGGCTCTATGTTTTAATAGATTAGTTTATTCCACACGTTTAAAAGCTATTGCACTGTATATTGTTAACAAGTTAAAATGTGAAAGTACGTCAGTACGAACACAAATTGTTTGGAAATAATTAGTGTCCATGAAAAGTTTTTGTTTGTATGTTGTTGTTTTTTTGACAACAGTCCATTGATGAAAGTTTACCTGCTCTTCAAGTCTCCGTCTACAAGCCTAAAATGCACGTACAAGTTATTAAAACACATCTTAGAATTATAGAATACTCTCAAGCCAATAATAAAAGTATTGCTAAACAACCCCTCCCAACCAAAAAGTAATGGCAATCCCTGAACCTATGAACAACACAATAACTCGACGAAGAGCCAGCAAGAATTACATTCCTATTGTTGCTGAACACTTTGGGATGATCATCAACGGGCAGCACGAGGCGTTGCGTAACGCAATCTCAACCTCCTCATTATACAATTCTTGGCTGTCTGATTTGAGGTGGGAACTTGATGGCAGTACCATGCTTCACATAGCAGAAAAATCTGGACAGTTGGAGATAATAAGTTTTCTCCTCCAACAAGATAATAAGGAAATCCTGTATTGTCAGAACAATAAGGGTGATCTTCCCATTCATGTTGCTGTTCGAGCTGGACACCTACTTGTTACTCACAAATTGGTTGAGCAGGAAACGAGCTGGAGCGAGGCCTCGGTGGGCGGAAGCAGCAGTCGTAGTCAGCTAGAGACAGTAAACAATGACAAAAACACGGCCCTCCATATTGCCTTGTTAATTAAACACAAAGATTTAGCCTGGTACTTGTTTAACAAAGGTCCTGAATATACCTTCTGCCGAATGAATTCGCATCGGATTTGTCCTCTTTATTTGGCCATCGATGCTGGTTATTGGGATCTTGTAAAACACATGCTTCAACGTTGCGCTTCTAATGAGATACAACTGATTTTAAGGAATGAGAGGTCTGTTCTTCTTGATGTGATTATGGC